TGAATATAGAGATTTTTTAACCTAGTTTTCAGATCTGGTTTTGTAGCCCCAAATCCATACTTTCCTAATTATTTTGCATAAAAAAGTGTTTTGAATGGAAAAATTAGGTAGATAAGATTTGGGTTGGTAATTGGTTGAATTTTAAATCCTTGAATAGGATTTAAGGATTGATTTTGGATATTGGTTTTTTCTAGGCCTTTAAGTTGACAACTACCCAAGGAAGAAGTTAAGTTAGATTTGTAGGATTTCCGAGAGAGGTAAGTAATTTGCCATATCCCTTCAAAGTATTGTAAGTAGTTTGCCATATCCCTTCGAAAAGTATTGTAAGTAATTTGTCATATTCCTTTGAAAAACGTTGTAAGTGATTTACCGTATCCTTTCGAAAAGTATTGGAAGTAATTTGCTATATCCTTTCGAAAAGTATTGTAAGTGATTTGCCATATCCCATCCAAAACTAAAATGTATTTTTGATTTGATATGAAGATTTGAAATTAATATATTGGATATGAAATTGAAGTTTTATTATGGATTTGAAAACTAATTTGACAATTGATATTATGTTTATTTGCAAAGTATTTGAAGTATTCTTATATGATTTGATAAAGTTTTGTTTAGATTTATTTAAAGGTTTGAAATTGATATTTTGTTTATTTGTGAAATATTTGAAATCATGTTTTGGAGGATTGATAAAGTTTGTTTTAAATTAGTTCAATGTTTTGAATTAATTTAATATTGAAAGTAAGTATTTGTTTTGCATTTTATTTGAAAGACATTTTGATTGATTTGATACGGCTATGCCATGATTTTGTTTTGAGGAACGTTTTGCTTGTTTGGGATAGTTGCCTGATTTGGAATTGATGGATTTCTGTTCTGGCTTATTTGTGGGAAGACACTTTTGTGGTTTAGCATTTATTGGGAATGAAGATTCATGTGTGTGTTATTCACTCATATGGCCTCACACTTAAATAACCGTTATGTTTGTTCTGGTTGATATTATTTCGACAACTCTGTTCTGGTCGATATTAATTCGACAACTTTGATAGAAGCTTCTGATTGATTGGTGTTACCGACGGGTAATCACATATGTTCTGTAGGCTACCCAAATAATGCAACCTCCTACTCTGATTTCGAAAGTATGAATGATTCTAACATTGTTTTGAATGTTTGAATGATTTAGTTTATTCAAAAGTTTGAAAGTTATAACAAATGTTTTAGAAGGAATTTTGAAAGTTTTGATCGATTGATATTTTTGCTACAAATGTTTCGAAACCAAAAATAAAAAAAATAAAAGAATTTCAATGTTTGATATGGAAATTGCTTATTAAGAATTTTTGTACTCATTTTTCTGTTTTCTAAATGTTTTCAGATGAAGGTTCAAGTGACTGCTCAGATAGTGATTGAGGAATAGCGTTCTGATGAGAAATTGAAATCTTTAGTGTTTTCCATTGTTTTTTTTAGCTTGTGAGAACTTAGTTACTGCTGCTGTTATTCTTTGGCTTTATTAAAGTGTCAGTTTTTGTTTCAAAATTGGACTTGTCCTTATCTTTTGTCATAACATCATATTAAATAAAGAAGTTTTTCCGTCAATATAGTGTTTATTTGTTTACGCATCCGCATTTTGTCAGAATAACCGTATTAGAAAATACGGGTTGTTACAGTTGGTATCAGAGTGATGGTTTGAGGTCCGGTAGACTATAGGATTCTTGAGTGTTGTGTTAGTGCTAAAGTTCATGCCAGAACATTAGGTTTGATAGTTTTAGAATTTTGGGTTTCGAGAGTGTTTGTGTTGTATGTAATTGTTACTCACTATATCGTTATGATATAGTTATTTTATTTTATGTTGTTTTTTTTATACCACTAAGGATTGGTTGACACATGCTTTGTAGAACAATGCCACCACGAAGGGTAATAATCATAGGACTACAACTGTTGAGGAACAACAAGATAATATCCCAGTTGTTCCACAAAACCCAATGTAACGCCCCTGAATTTCACTACGAAAAACGAGGCAACGTTAACATATTACCTATTCATCCTTTTCCATTAAGGGAACATAAAGTATAATGTCCCCGAAATTTTCGACATGAAATTTCGAGGTAATACCATCACCTTCCCTGTTCAGCCCCTCCCCAACCAAAAGACATAAAGCAATTATTTTAAGAACAACCGTGGGGTTCACACCGAACCAATTCCTAAAGAACGCATGTCTGCTTCAGTGGCTAGTAATCCAATAAGAGAAAAGAAATAATCAATTTGTCCAACAAACCCAAAATACACCAGAGACTCAAATAATGGAAAAAAACAACGATTCGCCAAAATGAAGAAAACGTTCCGTGAGTCAAAACCAATATCTAGTACACCACTTGAATAAGTCCCTAACGCCCCTAGCAATGAAACTACAATTCAGCTATCCTAGACAAAAATGCAGCTAGTGGTCCTCCCTCGGTCAAACTTCCTCTACGTCATCAACTTGGTGAAAAGTCCTGTTTACACCTGAAACAATTAAGGTAGAGGGGGTAAGTATATAAAATACTTCGTAACTAGCCCTCACTAACTATTCATAAAACAGCATGCTCGTAATCACAACAACATCCAACACAATAACTAGAGAATAAAACATCAAGGAATAAGAACAGTAAATGAACATTTCCACACAAACATCAAAACGCCAAAACTCTGGTGGCTTTGGTCACACGACCCACTAGTCTCTAACTCCCTCGAGTTGCATCTTGCCCAACACCCTGAGTTAGTGCTCCAAGTCTAACTCTTCGAGGCGTATCGGCCCTTGACATTTATCCCCAAGGTACCGACATCCTTCTACAGAAGCTTGGCGTTCGACCTTGCCATTTATCCCCAAGACCTTGAACTGTTGCTCATAACCATTACACTATGTTAGTCCTCCAAGTCTAACTCTTCGAGTCGTGTCGGCCCTTGACATTTATCCCCAAGACCCCGACACTTCACTACAGAAACTTGGCGTTCGACCTTGCCATTTATCCCCAAGGCCTTGAACTGTGCATCGGCCCTTGATATTTATCCCGAAGGTCTCGACGACTACTCAGCGTATTGGTCCTTGACTGCCACCATGTCAAGACCCAATACTCATCATCAATTAGACTCATCATGCCGACCCCCGACCTTTTGTACCTGGAGCCTCGACACTCATCTCTACCAAGACTGGTTTGTCAACCCCCGGCCTTTTGCTCCTGGAGCCTCGACACCCAATAGTGACGTAACCGCCTCAGCCATGAAACTTGTATATGCTTTTTTCATCACATGATAGACCACACATTTGAATCATAATCCTCCACTAGGATTCTATCACATAAACCCCAAGTTTCCCACTGTAAGGGCTTTGAATAACCAAACGACAAATCTGCATTTTCACTTCAGGCATATAAAAAAATAACAAGCAACTAGTCCGTTCCACCACTATAGACAACTCCAACTAATCCTTCCAAGACATCTATAAGTCATTCACCCTTCTAGTCACAATACAATTTTTCCAGCATGGTTTTCATCGTACAAAGCAAAAGCAATAACCCAACAGCTTCCAACTAAGCAACCATACAACTAAATAATATAAAATTTACACATGCATTTCATCTCCAACATGTTTTCGAACGTCAGAGACTAACCACTCCCAACCATACTAATAAAAAACGTTCAAGTGATACCCAACAATCAAAAGCGAGATGTTTTCATAATGTATATAAAAAAAGTAGCAACATGCAACCCAACAATATCCACTAGTAGGTTCACCCACCAAGCCTAACAATTACTTTATACATGTGAAAAATTAACATAATAAAAATCGGCACGCAACAATTCCATTAACACTCCATAACGCACGCACCCACCCCTTGGTGCTACTTACACACTACTACGCTCCTAAATCTTGCGTTGATTCAACACCTAAGCATCAATAAACAAACAAAAATAATTAAAACAAAAATTCCAACCATCGAAATCCATTATGAGGCATTTTGTAACGTCCATTACTGCAACATCGACCTCGTTTAGGTGCGGGTAACTTAGGCCTAACTCGAATGGATTTGGGTTGCGTATATCTAGCTTCTAACGGTTATAGGTAGATGCCTAAAGCCACAAACTGCTGCTGTTAGTGCTTTTGCATCAATAAAAACTCACCAATCGATACCCACAACGCTGTGTGCAGAGAGGATTCACGTCCGAGATTGCCGACCACCATGGGAGATC